CCTACTGTTAAAAACATTCTGACCTATTGTGGGCTTTCTGAATTCTCTGCTACAGAAGAATTGCTCTATTATTTTTCCATTGTCAAAAAGCAAGTAAAAGCTAAGAGCTAGCATTTTCTGAGGGGTGCCTTGAGCCTACAGAATTTGAAAAGCACTCGCCTAAACACTTTCATAATACAAATAGTACAAACTTTGTGGAGTTGATAAACTCAGAATTTTACTCTTGGCTTGTATTTGTACATTACAATCCAGCCACATATTTTCCAGGTTCATTTCTCTTTTAATAAACATTTACCAACAGCCTTCCTCCTGTTCCTCAGACTTTAATGCAAAAGTAACTCTGAAATGTCAAAGCCTTAGACAGTGAAATGGAAAAATAATTATTTGAATGCAGTCAGCCACTGTATCTTTTTAGTGTAATATTAATGGGAGGAAATGGAAGATTGCGACTGAATTTTAATGAATTAATTTGTTAATTATTGCAAAGCCTGTGAAAGAACTAAGTATGATTATTACCTTTATTCCCAGGAAATTTCAAATTATGGTACACACAGACCTCTAATAATATTTCTATGAATTCTTAACACATGAATACTGTAAAATAGTATTAAATTTCTGTATAATTCAAGTATGAACCCAATGTCAGAAGGCCAGATTTTGACATCCTAATTCACAAGTAGTCCTTAGCTTCACCAAAAACAGTGGGGTCAGATGCACAGTAAGTACTGACAGTGTGCTCTTCTACCGGGCTGGATTTGGCTCATCATTCCTAATCCTACTGAATGTCATAAAACATGCATGGGTTTTCATTTCCTGTAGATTAGGCTGAAACAATTCACAAAATGTTCTAGGAATCAGTCACTAATTTTAATTTAACCTAATGAGTTATACCAGAGAGTGGCAACATTTACTGGCAGAGATACCCAGAACAACTCAGCTCAGGTCTGAGGTAAGCAGGCACTAAGATTCACCCACCTCCACTGCTTCTGCCTGCTGCCTGACTGTGGTGCAGCACTGGGGGTGCTTATACAAGCAACATTTTTTACATGATAGAGTCCCTGAAAGTGGTCTACAGCTGTGACTTTATGCACATGCATGGCTGCAGAGCACTTTTAAAATGGCTGATCATGCAAAAAATTAGCCTTGGTCAAATGAAGTACTAGGTTAAGGCACTGTAAAGCAAAGCACCTTAGGGAACTTGAGTTCCCTCCAGGATTCATTTTTTGTTTAGGGGTCAGGGAGGAAGGGGAACAGCAGCATGGAGCTGCTGGCTGCTTTTAAGTGGCCAGAGCTGAGGGAGGCAGGGGGCAGGGTGGAATGGAGCTGCCCTCCCCCAGCTCCCCCAGCTGGCGTACTGGGGGGAGCCGGGCCAGGTCGGGCCTGTGAGGCAAAAGGGGGCTCTATTCCAGTACAGTCCCCGCCCCACACCCATTCAAAAGCAGCTGGCAGCTCCACAATGCTGCCTCCCCTTCCTCTCCCTGTCCCGCTCAGGAGAGGGGCAGTTCAACAACCTCCTTGGAAGCTGCTGGAGTGCCCCTGACTGCTGGCCAGGGCTCCAGTCCCCCACCCCTGACACAACAGGGGGGTTAACTCATGGCACTTTATGTAAAGCACCATGAGTTAGAGCAGGGCCCTTAACATCTGTAGGCACCCTGGGGGAGCTCCCCTCTGCCAAAACCCCAGGTGCCTAACTGAAATGTAGTGCAGGAAGAGCCCCCCACCACCAAAGCCAAAGCTCTGTGGGCCAGATCCAAAGGCTGCATGGGCTGGATCCAGACTGAAGGCTGTAGTTTGCTGACCCCTTAGTTAGACAATTAAACAAATGGAAGAGGGAAGCTCTTCTCATTAAGTAATGTGTAAGGAAAAGTTTAGATTTGTGTTACAAAATAAATTGTTGGTATTTGTTGCAGGAAAGAAACAAACAACAATGCATCATGCATTTTAAATGCTGCATCCTGGAAAGAAAAGCATGTGTTCAAAAAAAAACAAAACAAAAAAACAGAACTTTTTTTTATAAATGTTTATACAAGGCACTTTTGGCAGGATTAATTCTCTGACATTCAGAAATGTTTATTACAGGATCTCTTTGTTTTCCCTCCATTCTAGTCATGTGCTGCTCAGGGACTGAGCATTAGTGCCCACTATTTTCGGTTAGTGATGATTCAGGCAGCAGAGCTTCACCAGCTTTCCACAGATGAATTTTTCAGCCGACATGCTTGTTTACTTAAATTGTCCTTCCTGCATAATTTCCCACAATATGTAATAAGGCAATGACGTGAGACACTCTCCAAAGTAGGATTAAGATACAGAGAGCCAGAATGTACAGAGTTGGGCCTGCAGAGAGAACAACCGGGCCTTCATGGTTACCCCTTACAATGACGACATTTTCCAGACTGTAATCCAAATGAATGCCCAGGAGAGCACACATATATTCACAGACCCTAGGGGCTTAGTGGCAGAAAGAAAGTGGGGGGGAGGAAATAAAATCAAGCTGTGCCCTATCCCTATGTTTATTCTAACTGATCCATACAAAGGTGGACGCTTGAGTATTCTGCACGCTGGGAGAAATCCTGGCTCTATTTAAGTCAGTGACGGAACTCCCCATGACTTCAAATAAGACCAAAATGTCACCCTTTTTTACTGTGTTTCTGTGCTTAATACAATGAAATTCTCTGAATTATCACAGACAGGTAGAGAGTGCAAAACTGCAGAAAGACTGACCGTGTGGAAGTGCTTGTGGCAAATGCTGTTTCTATGCCCTCCCACACTTTTTCCATTTGACCGAGTGTGGGAGAATCCTGCATCATATTGATTTTTATGCCCACGCATAAGTGGCACTTGTCCAGTAGTTTCAGCAGCAGCATGAATCTAGCTGGAACTGCACAAGTCTGAACAAATACAAAGCACCAGATTTCACTACCATTGGAAAAATGCCACAGTGCAGGTAGGAAGATCCTATAGGGGGTGAGAATCCTTTTCTGCAAGAAGACCAAAATGCAGGAAGACTGAAACCACAAAAACTACAGCTGGAGGCACAAACTTACATGAAAGAGGGCAGAGGCAGGGAAGCTTAAGGAACATAAAGTGAAGAAGAGCATGAACAGAAGAGAGCAAGAGAGCAAAATGAGTGGACAGTGGGCTTAGATGGCTACAGATAGCCCCTTTCCTCCCCTTCTCCATTGCCCTTGCGTTTTGCAGCTCTGTGAGATTTACACTTGTGCTCAAGTACTTTCGTGAATCAGGAACTTTGCTCACTCCTGCAGCCACTCTTATACAGACTTCTCATTTCAGTGAGGTTTTACTGATGACATCCAAAACACCCACTATAAAACTGGCTTGGGAAATATGAGATGCCGAGCATTCAAAGCTTTTAAAACTTATTTTCTACTGAATTAGTGAAGCAGGTAAATCTGATAAAATCTCTGGAAGAAGTAAGTAAAATGTGCCCACACACACAGCTGTGCCCCTTATCAGGGAACTCAAGCCCTTTAATAAAACCATAGTCCAAAATTCCAACCAGTCACTAATTGTGGCTACTGCTGAGTTAAGTCTGATGAGAAAAACCCTGTGATTGCCTGCGTGTACTGAAGATTTCAGTCACCACACAAGTCATAGTTTGCACTCAAAAAAGTGGCATTTTTGTACATGCCAATAATTATCCCAAGAAAATTGGTCTGCACATTAATAGGGAAAAACTGTACATTTTACTATTTAGAAGGAAAAATAATTGGACATAATTTTTAATTTGGGGTCCAAATCATGACAGATCATGACACTATTGAACATTTGCAACTCCTACTGAAATCAATGGGAGACGAAGTTGCTTGTGACATGGCCACTGACTATCTTAATAATAATGATAATGATCAAATATCAGCAAACAAAGGACAAAATGCATTATAAAGAGGAAATCATTGACCTTGACTTGATGGATATGCAGTCAAAGGTACTAATGCCTGAAATGACAAGTGAATGGAAATTGCTATCAAGCTATAAGACATTCATTTTTGTCCCTATTTCTGTCTTTCAGAACTAACACAGGCCTTTACTTTGGGAGGAACTGACAAAATTCAGTTTGAAACTTGGCTTCTGCAATCTGAGCCCAGTGTGCCCATGTGCTGTAATAACTAAGTAACATTTATAACGTGGTAGTGCCTAGCAGACTCAAACCCAGGTCAGGGACCCATTGTGCCAGTGCCGTACAAACATACGGTACGTGACAGACCCTGACCCAGACAGCTACATGAATATATTCAGGCTTATGTTTCCCTCTGAAACCCTGCTTGCTGACATGCCATAACAAGGTGTTAATGAGCAACACAGCACGAGTAAACCCAAGAGTGTGACAGCGGCACTGTAATGGGCAAGGTCCTGAACTGCATGCCTACAAAAAGGGAAACGAGTGTGAAACAGAACCTCATGTTTTCACCGCTGTACTTCACGGCCTCTTTATTAGTAAGGGTATTTGCATGCAAACAGGATCTTACGTTTCTCAACAGTTCTTCTACTCCTGCTGCTCACTCCTCACCTGAAATCTTTTCTTAATCCTCTGTATGAGAACAGGTTATCATCTCCATAGTAACCAATCCAATTCAAAGCTCCCCCACCATGCACTGAACAAGAAACCCCTTCTCTCCTTCCTCTAGTTTTATTAAACTAACAGCTTAGGAGTTTTAAGAATGCCATCTCCTCTCACTGTGTACTCCGAAACCCTTTCCTCCACACTGTCTTTCAGTATCATTGAAGGTTATGTCTTATGTACTTTAGGCGCATGCAGGGAGCCTACTGGCAAGTCACCCAAGTGCCGTCTAGGTTGTTGTGTCCTGGGTTCATTCCCTAGCTAAGATATTCAGCTCCTAGAGCAAGCCCTCTTATTCCCTCTTCCTCAGCCTGTGAAAACATTGCTCAACTGACCAGAAAAAAATGGGTGCCAATATCACCATGTGTAGTAAGGTCTGTGGCAGTTGTCAGTTAAAGACCATTTAGTACATTGGCCTTACCTGTCCTGTATCCCGTGTTATTGAGGTACACTGCAAATGTGCGTATTTCATGCTGAGCTTGCCAGGATGGAGAGGAGCAGTTCTCATTGTTAGTATAGGTGTTGTGATTGTGGACATATTTTCCGGTGAGAATAGAAGAGCGGGATGGGCAGCACATTGGTGTTGTCACAAAAGCATTGATGAAGTGGGCACCTCCCTGTTCCATGATCCGCCTCGTTTTATTCATCACTTGCATAGAACCTGAAAGAAGAAAACCATCCATGGCTGACAAAGGCTTCTCTTGTTTTCAGTTAAAACAAATCAGAACAAAACCCTGTAAACTGATACGGTAAAGACGTTATAAGGTATTAGTCAGCACAAGTCCAACAAAAGATTCTGTCTTGTTATCAGGATCCTCATACGGGGCCCAATGTTGAAGTCATAGCTGAGATTTTACTAAGCCCTGTTGACATCTGTGGGAACCCAACACCAGGATGCCTCAGTATCTTGCAAACTAGGGTCCAAATTCTGCCAGAGTGAGCACGTCTACACAAGACATTTACTACAGAGTTATCTAATTAGCTCTGCAGTAAAACTTCAGCGTCTGCATGTGCAGGGCTATTAGGATGGAGTAAATTAATTAACTCCGCTGTAGGATAGTACTGCCAAACACAAGTGCTATCCTATGGTGGAATTATTTGCTCCACTGAAATGCATGTGTAGATGCTGGCAGGGCTGGCTGGGGCACAAGGGTGCTTCAGTGCAGAGGCTACGTGTTGGCTAGCCCCACACTGAAACACCTGTGTTCTCCAACCAGCCCCTTTGCACCACGCTGAGCCATGTCAGAGCAGCCCTGGGCTGGCAGCCTGATCCCCTGAATCCCCAGCTCAACATGCTGCAGTCCTGGGTGCATGTGCAAACAGTGCACTCAGGAGCAATAAACTCTGGAGTGAACTGAGCCTGTTTATTCAACTGCCTGAACAGCACATGAAGATGTGCCCACTGAGTTGTATAATACTCTGCAAGTAGTCTTTCTGGAACCACAGGTACTGCTCATGGAGTTAACCATAAATGAAATCCCAGATTCTATTAAATAGGGCTCGCACCTTATTTTGAGGAGCTTGGTGGAGCATTAGCTTTTGGCTGGGGTTCCATACAGGAAACAATTTAACCCTAAAAAAAAAAAATAGTTGACACAAGACCATCATCTTCTCTTTTCTTCTTTCCTTCCTTCATTTGTTGGCAGGTAAGGTTGCTTAGAACTTGCCACCCCATTCTCCTTGCACCCCACAAGAAAGTGATGAATGAAACCATAAGGAATCGGTCTAGTGAATTTTGTCACAATTTGACCCAGATGGGTCACCCTCATGTATTAGTACTACAAGAGACTAAAATTCAGTCCACCTCTGTCATAGTTTTTACTTTACAGTGATTTGGGGCTTGGTTCCACAGCAATGGCCCCTCACTGATTTTACATGAGGTCGGTAACGTAGGAAAGGCCATAACAAGTCTCTTAACACTAAGAGGTTTATATCATAGGAGATTTAGACAGTTCAGGGTAATGGGATACAAAGCCTTTTAACAGCCAAGGTCAACAATGACCAAATGCCACTGGCATTCAATGGCTACTCATTTCTTATATACAAGGATTCAACATAGTTCCTAGTGGGGAGACATCCACTTTACAGAAACTACTTTCACAACTGACATTTTATTGCCTGTCTGTACAGAGAATCCAGGGTTGAAAGTACATGGAGAAGGAGTTTCCTCTTTCCTGCACCAAGGTGATCCCTCTAGGTTAGATTCCAGGACACCAATGGAGGAAACTTGCTGCTGGGCTGCATTTGCCCTGGAAAGAAGTTTCATCTTCAAAGCACATAAAAATAGCACGTGACCAACAGTATCCCCTCAAAAATGAACAGAATAGACACTGATACAAAGCAAATGTTGCATGATCGTACCCTTCTTCTACCAAATATCAGTAGAGAATATTGTGAACAACATCAGGATTAGCATAAGGTTTCATGTTGGAGTGGAGCTAGAGTATAGTGAAACTTACCCAAGGTTGGGTTGGATTAATGGTTCAGTTTTAATCAATGCATCCTGCAACCATCTGGCACAAACTGTATGTTGTTTCCATCAATAATGGGTTTAGATTTCTTCTAAGCTCTTTAGGTAGAGATTTCATTATGAAATTGCAACAGTGAGTTGATTTGATACAGGGCACATTGATGCAACCAGGAGTCAAAACCTAGAGGGAAAAATGGTTGAAATCCATACAGGAAATTGACTCTCTGGTTCCATGAAGGGAGACTAATTCCTCTTGCTAGTCATTTTATTTTAAAATTCCCAAGTCATTAGATTTCTTGAGACTATCGTGTGTTTGACAGGGAAAAATAACAGTTGTTAAGGAGTTTTTTTAAGTGGCCAGAGCTCATCCCTAGAATTCTCTCTTATAGAAAGGAGGACCCATTGATAAAGTGGCTCCCATACAGAAGAAATTGTTATATTGTACATATTAAGAAGAAGTTTGTAAAAGAAAGACCTTGTTGTGATCACAAGATAGAAAACTGTGCATTTTAGGAGCAGTCTCCCCTTTCTCCAAAGTCTCCTCTAACCTCAGTTATAACAAAGCCATCTGTACAGCATGTGAGCCTGAAAGGTGAAGGTATCTGCTCTGCTCTGTCTTACGAGTTAACCCAAAAATAATTAAGCAGGCTGAAGGAATGTTTTGTCATTCTACTCCTAAATGCAATTTTAACAACCCCTTTAAATGACAGCGGCATCTGTGCATAAATAATATTACATGTTAAGTCTCCCCTTGGGGACAGTAACCTCCTTTAATAAAACTGCTGTAATGACAAGACCTTATATATCAACAGTCTTTAATATAAAAACATATGATTTAATCTTCTTCCCCAGCTTGAGAACTAATGCAGAGTGACAGATCAGTGGAAGGTAAAAATCCAGCATCCCCTTCCATGCAATCTTAAATAGGCCAGCTTTAAATATTTTAAACAATGCTAAGCCATCCAACCAAAACTTATTTTCTTCCTCCTGCCTCCAACATAAACTTGGTGACATAAAAAGAAAGTAGAAATTGAATTCTTCTATGGCACAACATCACTTGTGTGTTAAGCAGCAATTGGAAACCAGCAAACCTTCTTTTCTCAAGTGGGGAAACCTTTTGGGATTTCATTAGTTAGATTCTCATGTTCTAAGAGAAGTTACACTTTCATGCATCAATATTTTATTCAGAAAAAGATCTCTGTTACAAGACTGAAATCATAGGTACAAAAATAAAGGTAACTTAGTTATTAAGCACGTGATATTTTGTGAATTATAAAAAGACACTCTACAGGACTTTGAAAAAAGATCCAACAGGTCAAGACACAAAGAAAAACAGGAACTAGATTGAGATTTAGTCCAGACTTCATAGGGTTTGGGTTTTTTTTGCTTAATCTTTCCTCAGAGATCATTACATCATTGACAACAGTGTTTAGACTAATATTATAATGGAAAAAAAATGAACAAATTTTTTACAGTCCTTGAGTGGAACCCTGACATTGAGGAAACACTTATGCAACTATGCAAGCTCAACGGCATACCCTGAAGAAGTCACTCCTTTTTAGAGCCCTTTGTTTTTTGCACTAACAATTATTCCACACCATCTGGGAAGGAACCTTTCCTTTCATTAAGGGTCAGAAAGTCTTTTATTTTCTCCTCTGCTGAACATCAATGATGGAAGAGTTAGAACATGAAGACAGAGGCATCTCAAGCACCAGAAAGTTTGTTAAAATGACAATACTAGGGATCTTTTGCAGCACAGTTAAGATTTCAGAATAAATACCAATCTTATGATAAGTGCTCCGGTATCTTCCAAGGATATGATGAAGAAGAAAAATGCATATCACAGAAGAGTTCTAACGTCATTCAAAAATAAGAAAACCATGTATAAGAAGACTGACAGAAACATTAAAATCACAGCATGGCGTATGTAGGAGAATTATCCTAAGTTTTTCTAATAGCAATTCATGACAAGGCACATTAAGAAACCATGAGGACTTTGTTGCACTGATGCAACGGAAGTGCAAGCTTCTCATCAGGTGCTTTTAAAAACCTTACATTGTACGTAAGTCTGAAGACTGCACATACAAACAGGTACAGGTTTCCTTTACTTTATGCTGTACATGTATTCCTGGAAAACAGCATACAACTCAAATTCACATAAAGGGAACCCACTTTACAATGTAACAAAAAGGGGATGTTCCAAGACATCTGTACTGACACCCAGACCCATTTCTACCGCTTTTACAAGACCATTTTGGGACTCACTAACAGCAGACAGTGCACACAAGCACAGGGCACTATTGTAATGGGGATGGCAACTACAGAAACACGTGTCGCAGACAACGAGCAAGGAGCACAGATCAACACAGG